TGCGGCCTAGTATGTGATCAATTTTGGAGAAGGTTCCATGTGCTGCTGAGAAGAATGTAAATTCAACTTTATTTGGGTGGAATGTTCTGTATAGATCTGTCAGATCTTTTTGGTCAATAGCTTTGTTTAAGTCCCTTATTTCTTTACTTAATTTCTGTTTGGAGGATCTATCCAGTTCATTTAGTGGTGTGTTGAAGTACCCTGATACTATGACAGAATTGTTTAAAGTGGTATTTAGCTCAGACAAGGTTTGCTTTATGTAATTGGGTGCTCCTGCATTGGGAGCATAAATATTAAGAATCGTTAGATCTTCCCTTTCACCATTATAAAGTGGCCGTCTTTATCCTTTTTTACTTTTGCTAATTTAAATCTAATGTCTGTGAATAACATGGCTATCCCTGCTTTCTTTTGATTTCCATTTGCCTGGATGATAGTTTTCCATCCCATGATCTTCAGCTGGGAGGCATCTTTGTGGTTTAGGTGTGTTTCCTGTAGACAGCAAATACTAGACTTGTGGAATTTTATCCACTCTGCCAGCCTATGTCTCTTCAGAAGACAGTTTAAACCATTTACGTTTATTGAGAGGATTGAAATTGGAGAAAGATTTCCATTCATATTGATGGGTGAAGTTCTGTTACTTTGTCTTAGACCTTGAGCCATCATGAAGTTCGAGGTCTAGACTTTAATTCTTTGCAGATTTTATTTTGAGGAGTGTCTATTGCCCTGTTCACTGTGGAAGGCAGGTCTGAGAATTTCCTGTAGGGCTGGTCTGCTCTTTGCATATTCCTTCAGCGATTGCTTGTCTGAGAAGGATTTTATTTCACCCTCATAGATGAAACTTAATTTTGCCCGATAAAGAATTCTAGGTTGGGCTTTGTTCTGTTTTAGAAGATTAAAGATAGGCACCCACTCCCTCCTGGCTTGTAAGGTTTCAGATGAGAAGTCTCCAGTTAGTCTGATAGGCTTTCCTTTATAGGTTATTTGTTTTCGCCTTGCTGTACGGAGGATTGCTTCTTTCAACATTACTTTTGTTAGCTTAATAACCGCATGATGAGGCGATTGCCTATTCACATTGTGTCTTGCAGGAGTTCTGTGTGCTTCTTGAATTTAGATATCCAGATTTCTAGCTAGGCCTGGCATATTTTCTTCCAGTATGCCGTAAAATAAGTTTCCAACCCTTGTGAATGTTCCTCTTCCCCTTCTGGAATCCCAATAAATCTGAGATTCAACTTTGTTTTTACATAATCCCATACTTCCTGTAAGCTTTGATCCTGTCTCTTATTTCTGTGCACCCTTTCTTCCTCTGATTTGTTTAGTGTGTAGGTATAATCTTCAAGCTCTGAGATTCTCTCCTCAGCATGATCTATCCTGTTTTTGAGGTGTTCCACTGTATTATTATAGAGTTCCTTGAATGTTTCCTTCACTGCCAGAATTTCTGCTTGGTTTCTCTGAATTACTTCTATATCTTTGGAGAATTTTTCATTCATTTCCTGGATTGTTCTTGTGGTTTCTCTATGTTGGGATTCTATTTTCTCTTCAATTCCGTTGAGCTTTCTAACACTCCATATCCAGAATTCTTCCTCTGTTAGTTTAATCATATCATGTAAGTTGGTGGAGAATGAGTATTTTCTTTTGGAGGTGACTTTTCTCTCTGATCCTTCATGATTCCTGATGTCTTTCGCTGGTTCTTCCTCATCTGGATACTTTGTTGAGGACCAGAGGTGCTAGAACTTGAGTATGAGCTGTGTTCCTGGGTTCCAAAGGAATGATCCTTGGAAGAGCTGGGGAGTATGTGTTCTGGTCCTGTATCATCTAAGAGGAGTTTGGGCCTCTTGGGTTATCTTTGACCTGATGTCTTCACCTTCTGTGCACAGAGTTCAGTGGGTTTGGGTCGCTTGCTTAGACCCCCAAGGGTTCATTCACTCTAGTGAGATGGAGACCAGTTTCCACCACTAGGTTGAAGTGGGAGGCACTGTGTTAAGCACTGAGTTTACGCTTACTTTTGTTCTCTGTGGTTTGTGGGAAGGAGTCAGTTATCAATGTAGACAATATATCTTTGTATTGCGCTCTAAGCCTCCAAATAGGATATAAAGGTATCTCAGTGTTAAGCAAATTTCTTGCCACTCCCAAGGGTTCCTTGAGTCCTCAGGAATAGCAGCCTCCTTCGCTACTCCGCCTTGCTAAGATAGGCTCGGCTCTCTGGGCAGATTGCCAATAGCTGAATGCAGTAAGAAACCACCCAGGTTCAAACTTGTGAGATAGCCGCCGAACGAAAACACAGCTCTTGCCTTTCCACCCTTTTAAATTCAGCTTCCGAGGCCACCTGCTGGGATAGGGCAGAGGGGAAGACTGAAATCACTAACAGGGCAGGCCTCCGCAGCATTTCCAAGCTACGGAGTGGCAGTGGCACACTTTGGCGGCACTGACACTGCAGGTCCCCTGTTTGGCGAAAGACTGGGTTGGGTTTGGCAGGCTGGCTTCAAATGACCACTGCACTCCCTAAATCCCCCACTCACAGAGATGCATTGGTTTATGTGTGGGGAACTGCCCTCTGTCTACAGAGCGCCAGCCAAAGCTTCAATGGTATCCAAAGGCCAAGCCTCCTTTAAGGTAGAGTCTCTACTTCCTGGACCTGGAAGTGTCCTGAGGTAAAATGCCAAATTCAGCACTCGTTTCTGCGGTATGGGAAGGCGGCTGCTGAGTTCTGCACCTGCAGGTTCAGCTCTTACACCTGCTTCAGCTGAGTGCTGGGAGCTCAAAAAGGTTGTCTTCCCCAGAAGCCCTATCAGATAAGCAGGTTTGGGGTAGAGGGTATGCCTGAGGCCGCTTCCAGCGCAGCACTCCACAGCGTTTCCAAGCTATGGAGCGGCGCTGTGGAGCTGGGAAGCGGCTGCTGGGTTCAGACCCTCTCCCACTTGCTACTGCTTCCGCGGAGTGCTGGGAGCTCAACAAGTTACCTTCTCCAGAAGTCTGAACAGTTCAGCCAGTTTAGCGTAGAGGGGGTGCCAGGGAAACGCTTCCAGCATTGACCTCTACAGTGTCTCCAAGCTATGGTGCAGTGCAGCAGTGCTAGGAAGCAGCTACAGTGTTTGGACACTTTCCCCTCCTGCTACTGCTTCAGTGGAGCTCTGGGAGTTCAAAAAGATGCCTTCTCCAGAAGCTCCAACAGTTCATCTGGTTTAGGGTAGTGTGGATGCCTGATAAATGCCTCCAGCACGGCCCTCCACAGCTTCTCCGAGCCACAGGACAGGGCGGTGGGACTGGGAAGTGGCTGCTGGGTTTGGACCTTTTCCCCATCCACTACCGCTTCAGCAGAGCACTGGGAGCTCAAAAAGCTGCCTTCTCCAGAAGCGCGAACAGTTCAGCTGTCCTAGGATAGTGGGGATGCCTGAAAAATGCCTCCAGCACTGCCCTCTGCGATATCTCCAAGCCACGGGGTGGGGCAGTGGGGCTGGGAAGCGGCTGCAGTGTTCGGACTTTTTCTTCACCCACTACTACTTCAGTGGAGCACTGGGAGCTCAAGAAGCTGCCTTCTCCAGAAGCACGAACAGTTCAGCTGCCCCAGGATAGTGGGGATTCCCAAAAAACACCTCCAGCACAGCTCTCTGCAGCGTCTTCCAGCCGTAGGGCAGGGCAGCGAGACTGGGAAGTGGCTTCAGGGTTCGGACTTTTTCCCCACCCACTACAGCTTCAGCAGAGCACTGGGAGCTAAAAAATCTGCCCTCTCCAGAAGCACAAACAGTTCAGCTGGTCCAGGGTAGTGGGGATGCCTGAAAAAACACCTCCAGTGCAGCCCTCCGTGGTATCTCCAAGCCACGGGGTGGGGGGGTGGGGCTGGGAAGTGGCTGTTGGGTTCAGACTCTTCCTGCTTCAGCGGGGTGCTGTGGAGAATTCAAAATGCTGCCTGCTCCAGACTCCTTTCCAAACTGCTTGTCTGCCCACATTGTCACCTCCCACCAACTTCAGGCAGTTCCCTGCCTGCATGGGAGTGGGGATCAGTGGGGAAGGGATCATCTCCCTGTGTAGGGGAGAAGGGATGCCTCCTCCGGCCAGCCCATGGGGCAGTAGATGCGTGGACACGCTCCTTCCCCACCACACTTCCAATTCCCCAGGTTTTGTGGAAGAACGTCAGTTCACCTTTGATTATTGTCCACGATTTCTGTATCCTGGTGTCTGCAGTCTTGCGAAGCTGATCCAGAGTAGGTGTAGATGACTTGTGCGTGGTTGTCTACCCTCTTCACCTCTCACCCCAAGAGCCGAGAGCCAAGAGGTCAGCCATTTTCCACCATTTTTCACAATCACAATTCATATTTTTCTGATGTGATGAGGAAATTGTATATTTCTCCAGTGCACACAAAGAATTTGCATACACAAGTGGCACTAATTTTTTTTTTTTTTTTGAAACAGCATCTCACTTTGTTGCCCAGGCTAGAGTGCCATGGCGTCAGCCTAGCTCACAGCAACCTCAAACTCCTGGGCTCAAGAAACCCTTCTGCCTCAGCCTCCTGAGTAGCTGGGACCACAGGCATGCACCACCATGCCTAGCTAATTTTTTCTATATACTTTTAGTTGGCCAATTAATTTCCTTTCTATTTTTAGTAGAGATGGGGTCTCGCTCTCGCTCAGGCTGGTTTTGAACTCCTGACCTTGAGCGATCCGCCCACCTTGGCCTCCCAGAGTGCTAGGATTATAGGCGTGAGCCACTGTGCCCGGCCTAAGGGTGACTATTTGAGAGAATAAAGGGACTGACAGTTGGGAAACACGCACTGATTAAGGCAGCTGTCTTCATCAGCCACTGAGTAGTCTTATCAAAAAAATAAAATCAAAAGTAAATCATGGCAGAGAGGGTATAAAAAGAAACAAAAGTGCTACCAAGATGAGGACGCTGTCGGTGGCTCTAATCTCAGGAGAGGTGCTGGGAGTTCACGACTCTCCCAACAAAACGGGTCCCAGGCAGGATCATCGAATGAGATTTGGAAATAATAGAGACAGAGACAAAGTCTAGTTTAAAGTGATGGGGAATTCAGGGTTCCTCCAGCATTCCTGTGAGCCAGGGGACACCGAGTGAAATCCAGCACCAGTATTTATTGGTATAGCAAATAGTTGTCAGTGGTTATAGATTTATGTGTACAGATCATTCGTTTAGGTTTTAAGGCTCCCCAAAGGCTTCAAGAGATCCATTACCTAATTCTATCCATAAGAGCAAATGGTCACAAAAATTTTTCAAGATAAGCATTTTAAGCCCTAATTAAGGAAAAGACATGGCTGAGCATACAAGTTAAAGACAAAGTCATTAATTAAGCAGTAACATAAAACAGGAACACGGAGCCTACATATTTCTCTATTTCTCTATATGGTCAGGAGTCAAGCAGGAATAGCCTTCAAGTTTATGATAGTTCCAGTGGCAGGTTGTTTGTTTTGTTGACATCCCTTGATCACATTTCTTAACCTTTAGCCCCATGCCAAGCTCTGCCTTGCACAAGCTGCAGGCACCACATTGTAGTTGCCTCTGATCAGTGGAATTCTCCACTTAATGCTAAGCAGCTTCTGATTTGTGAACTAATAAGCCAACAGATTTCTTCAAGGCAAAGCCTTGCACAACTCCTGAAACTTTCCATGTCTCTGAACTCTATTTCCCAACAGTATGGACTGCCTGATGCACAATGAGCAATGAACGCACCCTAAAGCCTTTCCTGCCCTCATTACACTTGTAAGGTTTCTCTCCACTGTGAATATTTTGATGATCAACGAGCTGTGAATTTTGAGTGAAGGCCTTGCCACACTCATTACATTTGTAAGGTTTCTCTCCAGTATGGATTACCTGATGGACAGCCTTGAATGTACACTAAAGGCTTTGCCACACTCTTAACACTTGTAAGGTTTCTCTCTATTGTGAATACTTTGATGCCTAACAAGGTGCCCATTTTGAGTGAAGGCCTTGCCACACTCATTACATTTCTAAGGTTTTTCTCCAGTATGCCTTCTCCTGTGACGTATAAGGTGCCCACTTCGAATGAAGGCCTTGCCACACTCATGACATCTGTAAGGTTTTTCTCCAGTATGCCATCTCCTGTGACATGTAAGTTGTGAATTTTGAGTGAAGGCCTTACCACACTCATTACATCTGTAAGGTTTCTCTCCAGTATGGATCATCTGATGGGTAGTTAGGCTTGAATGAAGACGAAAGGCTTTGCCACACTCAAAACACTTGTACGGTTTCTCTCTATTGTGAATGCTTTGATGCCTAACAAGGTGCCAACTTTCAGTGAAGTCTTTGCCACACTCATTACATCTGTAAAGTCTCTCTCCAGTATGCCTTCTCCTGTGACGTGCAAGGTATTTACTTCGAGAGAAGACCTTGCCACACTCACTACATTTGTAAGGTTTCTCTCCAGTATGAATTCTCCTGTGATGTGCAAGGTTTGAATGTTGAGTGAAGACCTTGCCACACTCGTTACATTTGTTAGGTTCTCCACCAGTATGGATTAGCTGATGGGTAGTTAGGATTTTATGAGCTCTAAAGGCTTTGCCACACTCATAACACTTATAAGGTTTCTCACCAGTATGAATTCTTCTGTGGATTGCAAAGGAGCCATTATACCTGAAGACCTTCCCACATTCGTAACATTTGTAAGGTTTTTCTCCAGTATGCCTTCTCTTGTGACATACAAGCTGTGAAGTTGCAGCGAAGGCCTTGCCACACTCATTACATTTGTAAGGTTTTTCTCCAGTATGCCTTCTCCTGTGAAGTGTAAGGTCTGCATTTCGAGTGAAGGCCTTGCCACACTCATTACATTTGTAAGGTTTTTCTCCAGTATGCGTTCTCCTGTGAAGTGCAAGGTCTGCATGTCGCGTGAAGACCTTGCCACACTCATTACATTTGTTAGGGTTCTCTCCAGTATGGATTGCCTGATGGACAGTTAGTCTTGAAGGTACACTAAAGGCTTTGCCACACTCATAACACTTGTAAGGTATCTCTATACCGTGAATACTCTGATGCCTAACAAGCTTTGAATTTTGAGCGAAGGCCTTGTCACATTCATTACATTTGTAAGGTTTTTCTCCTGTATGCGTTCTCCTGTGACGTTGAAGGTCTACATTTCTACTGAAGGCCCTGCCACACTCATTACATTTATAAGGTTTTTCTCCTGTATGCGTTTTCCTGTGAAGTGCAAGGCCTTCTTCTCCTGCATTGGTCGTGTCTTTTGGTGGTACATTTTTTATTACAAATTCAGGAGAGAGATCTACAAGATAGAACCGTAAGTTTCCAATTAATTACAGCATATAAACAAACCTTTCACATTGATAAACTTAATATTACACCAAAAGTAATACTGATATTAAACATATCTATGAAACTTCAGAAAGATAAAATTTAATTTTTAGGAACACACAAGGAATAGGATTGTTTCATAAAGATGATTTCATGTGATCCAAATTAATATCGTGGAAGTCAAGTTGCAAACCATCTATAACTAAAATACGATGTGCAAAACTATGTTTCCCCTGAAAGGCATGACCACCATTTGACAAAAAACATATGGCTATCTCACAATTGAAATGAAAACAAGTTATATTGGATAATGCATACTTAAAAATTATCATCTAAAAATAGTAACAAAAAGTAATTAGTAAGACATCCTAGTAATACATTATAAAACAAGCAAAAAAAATCAGTAACTATATCTACAAAAAGTTATAGTTTGTGGAAATAGGAACAATTTTCTCTTAAGGAAAAAACAAGAACATCCATTTTAGAACCAGTACAGAATACAAGAACTGTAATATGAGTTTTTTCACAATCATATCACAATATGATATAACAACAATGTTATATCATGATATACCTTTATAATGTGGAATGGAATGAAGCTTATAACTGTATCCATCACCACCAAAACATCATTTACTCCTGAATAAATGAATTGAATTGAAACTTTGTACCCACTGACCAACTTATTCCTCATTTTCCAGCTTCTGATAATCAACACTCTACTCCAATTGCATTGCACATATAAATGAAAATAAATATCCAATACTTGTATTTCTGTACCTGGTTCCTTCAGTTAGCAAAATGTCCTCCATGTTCATCCATGTGTGGGAAACTGAACTTCCTTCTTTTGAAAGCTGAGTAGTATTCCACTCTGTATTGTACATCACATTTTCTGTGTCTATTCATCTGGTAACAGACACTTAGTTTGACTATATAACTTGGCTGTGTCAATAATGCCACAGTAAACACAAAGTACAAATATCTTAGACATACAGATTCCAGATTCTTTGGTTTGAAACCCAGAAGCGAGATTTTGGATCATATAGTAATACTATTTTTAGTTTTTAGAGGAAACTCCATACAGGTTTCCATAATGCCTATATTAATTTACATTCCCACCACCAGTATAGAAGGGTTTCCTTTTCTTCCTATCCTCACCAACACTTCTCAGCAATAGCCATTATGACTGGTCTGCAGTGGTACCTCATTGTGGTCTAAAGTTGTATTTTCATAATGATTACTGATCTTGAGTCTTTTTAATATATCTATTGTTCATATATATGTCTTCTTTCAAGAAATATCTATTGAGGTCCTTTGACTGTGTTTTAATTGGGCTATTTCTTTTCATGCCATTGAGTTGTTTCAGTTTCTAATACATTTTGGATACTAATTTCCTACCAGATGTACAGCTTGGAAATATTATCTCACAATGCGAAGTTTCCCTTAATTGTTTCCTCTGCTGTGAAGAAACAGTTTTCTTTAGTGCAATCCCATTCATCTATATTTGTTCTGTTGCCTGAACTTTTGAGAGCCAATCTAAAAAAATGTTCAGACCATGTCTAAACATGTTTTCCCCTGTGATTTCACCTAGTGGTTAATTTTTATACAACAGCTGTTGGAAAGTATCCAGCTATTGTTAATACTATTTTTCATATTACACGGCTGGATACATTATGGAAAGCACTTGTATATGATGTGAGATAAGAGTCCAGTTTCATTCTTCTGCATGTGCAATCATTTTTGCAGCACTGTGTACTGACAGACTGTCCTTTTTCACTTGTGTGTTCTTGACACCTTTGTCAAAAATCCATTGACCATATACGTATTGGTTCATTTCTCTTCTTTATTCTGCTTCACTAATCAATGTGTCTATTTTTAGGCTACTACAATCCTGTTTTAATTACTATACTTTGCAATATAGTTTGAAATTAGGTAGTATGATACCTCTAATTTTGTTGTTTATCATAAAAATTCCCTTGAATATATGAACTGCTGATTAAATAAATTTTTGAAAAGTTCATTTATAATACATAAAACTATGCAAGAGGAAAGATGCACTGGCTTAAACATATTATGGTAGAACTAAAATATGGAGACATCATTTAACTTCATAAACTCCCTAAAGAAAATGTTTTAAAACCATGCCTATTACAGGTCTGAATCAATGACAAAATGACAAAGTTTTTGTTGTTGAAAGAGAATAGTGACACATATAGGGGATGAAAAATGTGACATGAACAACAGTTTACACATGAGGGAATGGCCTTAAAGAATGTTTTCCCTAGAAGAAATTCCTACAAAATTGACTGCTGGCTCAAGGGAGATGATCATTAGTATATGTGATCAGCATTGTCACAGTGACAGTTTTGTGATGCTTCTAAAAAACTAGAAAAACAATAGAAATACTTATCAGTCAGACTGACTTGATACGTTTTATCTCAAGATCATGGGCCAGCTCTACAGAGTGGCTTTGAAGGGCATCTTTGCATGTAGCAGGATGATATTCAATCATATTAGTTAAAGTGTTCTCCTTCATCAATTTTATGTTATCCAATAAACCCCAGCATACTCCACAGAAATTATTATGCATAACCTAAAGCTGGATTATCCCAACAAGTCAGCACTGAGGCTATCATCTCACTCAAGCAATGCAGGGGTTAACAAGAAACTCAGAAGAGAAACTGCAAAGATACATGAGTGCAGATCCAGATTTCCAGAGGAATGTGTATGTTGAACGCCAGTTTCAGAAAAAAAAAATCATACAAACTAAGAAGAGTACAAAAGCAGGCAGAGCCAAGGCTCCCTACATTCACTGAGTAGTAACAGTGGTGGAAAGCAGAAAAATACAATGCATGGGCATCAGATTTTGTGATATCTTGAGAATGGACTCCATGTTCTGCCAACAGATCCCACACAAAGAGATTGAAAAGAATAGGATCTGTACCCATGTCGGACTGGAGATCAAAGACAGGATGTTTCTATTGACTTCTTTTTCTGCAGAGTGACAATCTCAGAAGATCCAATTCACTCCCTTGTCACACACAGCCGTGAAGTGTGGCAAAAATGGCTGAGGTACCTCACCAGGCAGAAAGGGCTTCAGAAAGGTCTAGGAAGTGTCTGGAGACCCACAAGCAAAGGAAGACCAAACAATGTTTCCCATCTCCTGATTGGGTCTTCCAAGCACATGAAATGGGATGGAATATAGATCGGTCTAGTCATCAGAACTGTGAAGGCAACAACTCTTATCAATATGGACTGCAAACAGCATCAGATGGAGTCAACTGCAGAAGGAAAGGGCAGGGAGAAAGCAGTCCTTCTGAAACAGCCTTTCCTGTGCTGCTCAGTGTCAACAACCAAAGAGTTCTTGAGGTCAGATAACACAGTGTTGTCCACCATAACAAGGACTTTCCATTTGTTTCTGTTTGAGCTGAAGCACCGCTGGAGGGCATAGGGATAAAGTGTTACATATCTGAGGAACAGAGCGAGAAGTGAAGGAAAAGAAAAATTTCCTTTCAGAGCTCACAGGATGTAAACTTTTGTTTTCCCATAGAACTATCAGATTTGCATAGTTTCCCAAGCACTATTTGATGAGCAGCTTTCTCTCTATCCATCTGAGCACTTACTTACCTGTCCTCACACGTTTGATTCGTTTCCATCCATCTGATTTTCTTGCTATTTGCACTTGACTCTCTATAGTCCAGGGCTCTTTTCCTTGCTCCAACATGGAGATAATACTCAGGTCAAAATGAGAAATTCCTGCTTATAGAAACAAAGGAATATTAGGTACCATGGCTTTTCCAGAATCCTAACCCTATGTTTAGGTAAGGAGAAAGGATATTGCAGATAGATATATAAAGATATATCAGAAATCAATCATCTGAATGCCTCTTTTTGAATGCCTCGGGAATATTGTAACATGTAGACATTTAGTAGTCTTTGAAGAACCAATGAATCAAAGCACAGGAGTGATAAAAAGGAAACTGGACATTTTAAACATCTGATACAAGGTGGCAGTTAAAGTCTAGATACCCATTAGAAAGCTTTTCATTTCTGAATCCAGAGAGCTTCAATCTCAATCAAGCAATGCAGGGCTAACATGAGACTCACAAGAGACAATGGAAAGATACACAAGAGGACATTCTGACTTCTAAAAGAAAGTTATCCTCACCCAAGAAGACGAGGTTCCTGTAGTTCTCTAACATCACATCCCTGTATAAAGCCCTCTGAGTTGAGTCTAAGCATTTCCACTCCTTTGGAGAGAATTCTATGGCCACATCCCTGAATGTCAACCGTTCCTAAAATGAAAAACACATTTCACCAAGTGGCTATTAGGAGAGTTCTGAGGAGAGAACTCTAAGAATAGATTTGATTGAAGTGAATGGGCTCACAGATCCACATTATGATACTGTAAAATATTAATATATGTGGTCATCTACTCCCTCCTGACATACAACTCACCTGAAATCTTTGGAGGGACAGTATCGTGTTGTATGTTAATAAGGTAAGTGGTGGCCAGAGGCCCCTACTTCAGGTTGGGGGTTGGTCACTGGAAATACCCAGGCTGTATAACACGGTCAGAACTTTTACCTGCAACCCTCAACCTCCCCTGAGAGGACACGGGCTGATCATCAATATCCAGTGATATATACAATTATGCTTATGTAGTGACGTCTCACAAAAACCCAAAGAACAGGGTTCAGAGTACCTTCCAGACAGGGGAACATGTAAATGTTCCCAGAGGGTGGTGCTTGCAAAGATGGCATGGAAGTTCTGAGCCGCTTCCTTCCACACTTTGCGCAATACATCCCTTCCATCTGGCTGTTCATCTATATACTTCAGAATATCTTTTATAATTTCTTTTGCAGACTTCAGTGAAACCTCTTATATTAATTTAAGGATATGGAGTTCTGCCTCTTACACTCATAAATTGTGATAACAACTTAGATAAGGATGTTGACTGCAGAAAGAATATTATTTCTCAAGAGAAATAAATAAGAAACTCTTGGGCGATATCATTTTCCCTGCATCCTAGTATGACTACTATGTTAAAAACCTTTGTTATAAAAGCAGTGTATCAATCAGATTATAGTCATTCCTTGCTTTAACAGGGATACTTTAATGCAATTTCTTAACTCTTTCAAAATGGATGCACACAGTGGCGTTTTGTCCTAGTCTAAAAGCTGAGTACTCTCTCATCATTTTAATACTATTTTAGGCAATACCTATGACAATTATACCAAATTTCCTCAAACAACCCAAGTTGATCAAGAGGCTCCTCTGTTGCGGGTGTGCACTTCATGCTTAGGCCTTCACAGAGAGTGAGGACTGTGCCTCTTCCCTTGGGGAGTTATGGTGGAATAGAGGAGCACAATTTGGGAGGTACCTGCGAACTGGTGCTTCAGAACTGGAACAAGACAAGGATGCCTACTGTCACCAATTTTATTCAACATAGTGCTGGAAGTCCTACCCAGAGCAATCAGGCAAGAGAAGGACCTGAATAGTGACCAAATGGGAGGTCAAACAATTGTTCCTTGCTCACGTTATGATTTTATATCTAGAAAACCCCAAAGATTCTTCCAAGAGACTCCAGGAAATTGATAAATTCAGCAAAGTCTCAGGTTATAAAATGAATGTACACAAATCAGTAGCATCTCTATACAGAAACAACAATCAAGCTGAGAATCAAATCAAAACTCAATACTTTTCACAACAGCAACAGAGAAAATGAAATATCCAGGAATATATCTAACCAAGGAGGTAAAAGATCTCTATATAGAGAACTATGAATCACTGAGGAAGGAAATTACAGAGGTTGGAAACAAATGAAAAAATAAATCATGGTCATGGATTGGCAGAATTAACATTGTTAAAATGTCCATACTACCCAAAGTGATGTACAGATTCAATGCAATCTCCATCAATATACCAAGGTCATTTTTCACACATCTAGAAAAAATACTTCTATGCTTTGTATGGAAATGGAAAAAAGATTCAATAGCCAAAGCAACCTTTAACAAAAGGAACAAATCAGGAGGCATCACTTTACCAGACTTCAAGCTATACTACAAGGCTACAGTAACCAAAACAGCATGGTATTGGCACAAAATAGGGACACAGACCAATGTAACAGAACAGAGAACACAGATATAAAACCCTCTACATAGCCCAATGTAACAGAACAGAAAACCCACATATAAAACCCTCCACATATAGCCATCTGATCTTTGACAAAGCAGACAATATATTGGGAGGAAAATCCCTATTCAATAAATGGTGCTAGAAAATTGGACAGCCACATGTAGAAGACTGAAACAGGATCCTTACCTCACCACTCACACAAATAAATTCCTAATGGATAACAGACTTAAACCTAACACATGAGACTATAAGAATGCTAGAAGAAAATGTTGGAAAAGTATTCTAGATATTGGCCTAGGCAAAGAATTTAGAAGATGACCCCAACTGCAATCACAGCAAGAAAAAAAAAATAAAATAAACAGGACTTGATTAAACAAAAAGCTTCTTCACAGCCAAAGAAATAATCACTAGAGCAAATAGACAACCTACAGAATGAGAAAAATATTTGCATGCTATCCAGTTGATAAAGGGTTAATCACTAGAAATTACAAAGAACTGGAGCAAACCAGCAAGAAAAGAATCAAACAACCCCTTTAAAAAGACGGCAAAACACACAAACAGAGCTTTTAGATAGACAATAGCTTTTAGATAGACAATTGAGTAATGGCCAATACAATATGAAAAAATACTCAACGTCTCTAATTATCAGGGAAATGCACATCAAAACCACAAGGAGATATCACCTAACTCTAGTGAGAATGGCTTTTATCAAAAAGTCTCAAAACAATAGATGCTGGTGTGGATACAAAGAGCAAGGAATACTTATACATTGTTGGTAGGACTGTAAACTAGTACAGCCTCTATGGAAATTAGTATGGAGATACCTTAACAAACTAATAGTATACTTACCATTTGATCCTTCAATTCCAATACTGGGTATTTACCCAAAGGAAAAAAGCATCGTTTTATTAAAAAGACACTTGACTCAGATGTTTATTGCAGCACAATTCACATTCGAGAAGAGGCAGAATGAACCCAAGTGCACGTTAATTCACGAGTAGATTAATAAAATGTGGTGTATGTATAACACGGAGTACTACTGAGCCATAAAAGAGAAGTTAATATCCTTTGTCACAACCTGGACAAACTGGAGACCATTCTCCTAAGTGAAAGAGTGCAACAAAGAATAAACAAATACCACACATACTCACGTTACATTGGAACTAACCAATCAGCACTCAAATGCACATATGGAAGTAAAACTCAAAGGAAATCAAGCAGGTGAAAGGCGGGAGAAGGGGATGAGTGAAATGATACCTAATGGATAAAATGTACACTATCTGAGCGATGGACACACTTGTAACTTTGACTCAAGCTGTACAAAAGCAATCCACATAACCAAAACACCTGGACCTCTGTAATATTCTGAAATAATAATTTAAAAAAATTTAAAAATGGTACAATATAAAAAAATGCAGAAACTTGAATTTTAATACTATTAAGTACATGTATTAAAAAAATATGGATACAATTTTGTGTAGTTAAATTTAGATATGTAGTCATTACCAAAAAACCCAAAAGAGTTTATTAAAACAGATTATTCCTGTAACAAAATCAGAACATGAGAAATGGAAAGTATCAATATCATACATTACTTTAACAAATTTAGATTAGGCCAGTGCAGTGGCTCACATCTGTAATCCCAGCACTTTGGGAGGCCAAGGTGGGAGGACAGCTTAAGGCCAGGAGGTCAAGCCCAGACTGAACAACAAAGTAAGAACCTGCACCTCACCAAAAAATTAAAAATTAGCCAGCTATGGTGGTGCACACCTATAGTCCAAGCTACTTCGGAGGCTGAGGCAGAAGGATTGCTTAAGCCCAGGAGTTGGAGGTTGTAGTGAGCTCTGCTCATGCCTCTGTACTCCAGCATAGGCAAGAAAGTGAGACCCTGTCTCTTAAAAAAAGAAAAAAAGAGAAAAAAAAACCAACCAGATGTAGATTTATAAAAAAATGCATCACAACCCTGTGTACCTGAAATAATTATTAGATAGTTAAAAATCAGGCCAAAATATAAATATGTGAAAACAACCCTAATGTTAAGAAAGAATACTTCACCAAATATCATGATCCCAGTAAGCATAGGATGCATCTCATTTAATTAAGATGGAGAAAAGTGGGCTGGCCAGGACTCCAGGCAAACACCACTGCCCAAGATATCTGAGCAGGGACCAATAAAGAGGAAAATAGTGAAAAAAAAGGGAGTGGGGAAGAGAGTAAAGAGCTAGATTTGTTAAAATTAACAGATGACATGACTGCAACCTAGAAAAAAATGCCGTTTAAGTATAAAAATTAATACAAATATACTGAAAACCATCTTCTTTCCTTAGCAGCTCTCATTAAACAGACACATGGCACATGACATTTCCACTAGCAAATATATCATGGCACCTAATTAAAAGATATTTCCAGGCTTATGTAAAGAAATTATAGAAGTGTACTAATGAGGTGGTATCAGTAAGAGAGAGGAACCGCAAACCCCAGACACAGAGACACACACAGATAACAACACACAGAGCAACTGTCTGTGTGAAGTTGAGGAATCACTTAAGAGGTTGGAACCCCTAATGGATGCCTAATGGGAACTATTGAGACACTTTGCCAGAGGCACTACCCTGCCATGATGTGACAACATTTTGAAGAAACCCCTAAGTCCTGATTTCTTCCAGGGGACGAAAAGTATGGGAACATCCGTCCCACATGCTGATTTTCAGGGGACTACTGGAGGGACAAATTTCTATCTTGGGTGAACATAATCACTGAAAGTAAAAGCACACTGGGCCTGGGAGCCACTGAAAATAAAGGCCATCATTATAAACAAGTACCGCAGGAGCACGGGTAGGACACTAGGGGGAGACCCAGACCACAGTTTGCTAGAGCACCAACAAGGCTGCAGACTACCAGGCAGACAACAGAAGAGCTTCTGAGTAGAAATGGCTCAAATGGAAAAATCTGTTCAGTTAGATTATAACCAAAAGCCTAGAGAGGACACATCCTCAAAAAAGTCTTGAGATGTCTCCAGAATGTCTAGTCGGGCTACATAAACAGTGTCCTCTCTAAATGAAGGGAAACAAAAACCGGAAATAAGTGCCTGATTTGAGAAATGCTGAAGTCCCAACAGAAGATAACGACATATATAAAATACAAAGGAAACAAAACCCATACATAGGACCAAATTAAATCACCACAAACTGACACTAAAGAAATGAAGATTTTTTGAATTACCATGCAAAGAATTCAAAGTAAGAGTTACAAGGATATTCAACGAATTAAGAGAGCACATATGGACTTCACCACATCGGAAAAACAATGTATAATATGAACAAAATGAGATTATCATCAGAACTAGAACTATACAAAACAGAAGAGAAATTCTTGAGCTGAAAAATATAATGATACCTAAATTGAAAAAAAACACTAGTGGGCTTCAAAAGCTGACTTGACCAGGTAGAAGATATAAACAGCAAACAGAAAAAGGAGCAAAAGAAAACACAGAATGAAGAAAAATGAAGACAGCCTAAGGGCATTAGGGAAAACCATCACACGCATCACCTGCATGTCACAGTAAGAAAGAGTGTAAAAGATAAGTATGGTCAAGCATATGCCAACAAATTACATAAGCTAGAGGAAACTGATCCATCTGTAGAAATACACACAACCTACTGAGTCAAAAAGAAATAAAAAATCTACACACACTTATAAGTACTATAGATATTAATCAAAATCTCCCATCCAAGAGTCTAGAACCAGATGCAAAATTCATAATCACTGCATAATTCTATCAAACTTTTAAATTAACACCAATCCTTCTCATTTCTAAATGATGGTAGAAAGAGAACGCAAAGAAATTTCATTCTGTGACACCACCAGGACTCTGATACAAGCCAGGCACACACATTACAAGCAAACAAAACTATACAATGTTCCAGATGAATACTGATGAAAAAGTCCTCAACAAGCTGAGTTTAGTGGTTCATGCCTGTACTCCCAGCACTTTGGGAGGCTGAGGAGGAAGGATCTCTTGAGCTCAGGATTTTTCAAACAGCCTGGGAAACAGAGCAAGCCCCATCTCAACAAAATATTTTAAAAATTAGCTGGGTGTGGTGGCGTGTACCTGCAGTCCTAGCAACTTAAGAGGATGAGGCAGGATGATCACTACAGCCCATGAATTCAAGGCTACGGTAAGCTATGATCATGCCACTGTACTCCAGCCTGGGCAACCGAACAAACTCTCTCTAAAAAAAAAAAAAAGAGAGAGAAAGTCTTCAGAAAAATACTAAGAAACCAAATTGTACAGCACATTAAAAGAATCACAGGCCATGAGCAAGTGTGATACACACTAGGAAAGCAAGGGTGGTTCAGGAGAAGAAAGTCAGTCAACGTAATACACGACATTGACACAGTGAAAGACGGACTAGGAACAGAAGGAACATTACATTTGGCAATGATTTCTTGGATATAACACCAAAAGCATAAGCAGAACAGCAAAAATAGACAAATGGGACTATCTCCAACTGGAAAACTTCTGTCCTTCAAAAGATGCACCGAAAAGAGTGAAATGGTAGGCCTGTGTTCTGTCAATGCAAAAGCAATGTAACCTTGAACAACAACAAAATGAAATCCTTTGATTAACTACATAGAAAGAACTTGTATTTTGAAACTTTAAATCAATTAAAGTACCTACAATGTATACCCCAAAATCCAAATTAATAAGACATATAATCAAAATATTAAACTACTAGATCCAAATGAATCACACCATTTTGTATACATGCATTAAGTGAGGTCTTCCAAAGCAAGATAAAACATACACACAATAAAAGATCGGGGCTTGAATCAGAGAAGGATTTTGTTTCATGCAAAAAAATCTACAACTTACAGAAAGACAACAAGTCATATACATAGAGTTAAACCATGAGCTATAAAATAGCTCTTAATATACAAGAAAAGAAAATGGAGCAACATATAAAATCCATCTTATATATACATATCCACAAAGTAATGAAAGCTCATCAGACTCGTGAGTAATCAGAAAATGTAGGAGGAGAGAAAGAGGATTGTCATTTTGCCCATATTTTAAAAATGTAAAAAGAACATACTGGCAAGTTTTGTTTAATGAAGGGGAAATCTGGTTTGTTGTTGGTTGTTGGGGGCTGATTCTGGTGTTATGCCTTATACTAATCATTCACCATAGCCTGTAATGTACGTGTGCTGCCTCACACAGCGGTAGCCAGTATTTTCTTCAGACACAGTTACTGCCTTGGGACATAACAAGAGGCCTGAGTGTCTGCACATAAGCAAATGGTGCCCAGCTCCCACATGGTGGGCCCCCGTGGTGAGAGTCTGGAAGCCATAATGATAAGAAGAACATTCCCAACGTCCGGCCCTGTATGATAGTTGGTAGTCAATGACGGGTAAGATCCCTCATGGGGAGGACCACCTAAGACAGACACAACCGTGGCGGTCGGCCACTGGCTGGGAGAGAGCTGCTGGCTTGGAAAGAGCACAAGAAATTCTTCTGATGGCTGCATTGCTTAAATGCTGCTTATCTCAGCCTTGGTTTTGAGTTATGTCTGGCACTGGCGCCTCAAGTAACCGTTTTGAGGTCTGAGATTATGGGAAATTGTTCCCTTTTGAAACAACTCCGGAATTGGCAGTTATTGCTACTATGTTCAGATGCTCATGTACAAGGAACTAACCTTGGGTCCGGGGGGTATAAAAATAAAGCGACTGATGTATTGGACACTCAAGTCATTTCATGTCCGTGTGCGTCTGTGTCATTATTTTATGTTCTATGTCCATCCCCCGTCCTGTAATTGGGCCACGTCAGTTGGTGGGAGAGGGTAAACCTTTGCAGCTGAGGTGGAGAGATGGAATGTTGCCAGATGTAGCAAGGTAGGAAATGCACCATGCTGGAAGAAGCAATCACTCTTTCAAATGCCCAATCTGCAGGAATCCTCCGATATCTATAGTGAATCTGACTTGTTCAGAGGAAGCCACTGTGGAATTCTTTGTAACACTGGGAAAGCGAAAACATCCACCTGTCTTCACTAGCAGAATGCTCCAACAAGGATGTAGAATTCTAAGGCCAGGTGTGGTGGATCATGCCTCTAATCCTAGCATTCTGGGAGGCTGAGGGGGGCAGATTGCTCAAGGTCAGGAGTTTGAAACCAGCCTGAGCAAGAATGAGACCCCGTCTATACTAAAAAGGGAAAAGAAATTAATTGACCAACTAAGAATATATAGAAAAACTTAGCTGAGCATGGTGGTACATGCCTGTAGTCCCAGCTATTCCGGAGCCTCAGGCAGGAGGATTGCTTGAGCACAGAAGTTTGAAGTTGCTGTGAGCTAGGCTGATGTCACGGCACTCTAGCCCAGGAAACAGAGTAAGACTCTGTCACACAAAAACAAACACAAAAAAGGATGTACAATTCTATAGCAAGCTATCTGTCAATGTTTCCTAACAAAAAACATATACATTTTGGAAGCTTGCAGGTCAAAATGTCATAACAAAGCATTCACTGAAGAACTTTACCTTTTAATCTCACAATGAAGCCGACGTTTCCACAGGACTTGTGCTCTCTCCACAAAACTGACAACACTGATTCCCCACTAGCACGGGAGGAGGGTGGAAGGCCAGACAGGACGGGCGGTGCTCTACGCCTTAGCACCTAAGCTCAGCATGTTTGTTTAGAGTTTTACTATAAACTAAATATATGCCGTGGGATGTTTCAAGAAAAATGGAATATTTAATAATAATTGGCAAAACAAAAATAAAGTTCCATCTTCTCTAATGGCAAAGAAGTTCTGTTCCTCGGTCTGAACAAAATTACAACCACTCTTAGCTAAAACGCCTGTCGCACAAGAGTCCCTGCAGGAACACAACGGTATCTGTGGTATGGATTGTCTGAGAATAGTTTAATGAAGCTCCTGCTATTTGACATCTATGTTATAGTAAAAACGGATGATGGAATGAAAGGATCCTCTATCACTGATGTCTGTGTCTAACTTTCCATTCCACTCTGTCACTAGGAGTTTGAGTCAGTGACTCACTAATTTAGCTATAAATGTAATATAAATGAATCAGAAAGAATATCTCCTGATTATTCTCTTTTTAGAGCATTCAGCAGGTGTCTGTGCGCATTACCCATGACTCAAGGGCAGCTTCTCTAATCCCAGTCTACAGAGAGCTGACAGTGCATCCAGCCGTGGCCCCTGAACAGGCCCTGCTGCCCGACAGCACTGACGCCACAGGGCCACACCCGTCTCCAACCCCTGCCTGGGTGAGAAGCCCTTCCCAGGACCGTGTCCAATGGAGCCTCTTCACAGGGTCCTGTCACTGGGTCACAGTGAGATGGAATCTGAGTGGAGGTGACAGGGACTGAGGGAAGGCACGGGTGAGTGTGGGCAAACACAACAGGCAGGATGCTGCAGAGTCGCAGAAGATCAGCGACTCCAGTGCCCGGCATGTCAGAAAGGAGGGAGACACAGAGCCACCCACTGAGAACATCACCTTACCTGAGCCAGAGCCATTCCTGACTCCTTTCCTTTCCTCCTGGCCCGCTTCCAGGCTTCTTCCTCACCCAACATGAGTCTTTGGCAGTCAATCCTGAATGTGAAAAATAGGAGGATTAAACATAAGAAACCACACACCCCCTTCCTGTGCTACAGCACATACAAAGACAGACCTCACCCTGCAGAGAAAAGGTCCTCTGCGACCCACTGCACCAGGAGGGATGCAAGGATAAAAACCTCACACAGGAAGCCCAAAGGGTGAGTTTTTGACCCCTTTGAGCAGAACTCGCCCCCCTTGTGGAAGCCCACACTCACGCTGCAGCAGGGGGGAGCTGGGCTGGGCTCCCCTCCAGGGCACAGGTGTGGCCCTGACCAACCTGATGCAGAGCACGGCCCCCTCACCCCTGCATGGACCGCAGGCTGGTCTCTGCCCATAGAAATAAAAGAAATTGAGCCTGGACACTCGACGCTGGATACGCACTGGAGCCACGCGGGGCACTGTAAATATACTGAAGGAGCGTCCCAACGTGACTATGGGAGCGGGAATCTCTGCAAAGGGGGCACAGGGATGTGTCTGCAAAGCCTTAGCACCCTAACGTGCAGCCAGGCGTGAGCTCGGGGACAAACCCAGCACACTTCCCTCTGCTCTTGTCCCCTTGGGGACTTGGTGCCACCAGTATCCAGACAGTGAACGGCAAAGGAACAAAAAGAAACACACAGAACAGGCAATATGGACCAGTGTGGGGGGTGAGGGTGTGGCTGGAATCTTAAATTGGGGGAAGTCGGAGAAGCCTCCACTGAGAAGGGGATAGCAGGACAATGACCTGGGCAAGGAAGGATGTTTCCACCTCCAGGAGGGAGGGCAGAGAGTTCTAGGCAGACAGACTGCCCACATGGAAGCCCTGAGGCAGGAGCCACCTCGTGCCCAGGAAAAGGGAAGAGGCCTGCGAGGTCCTGGCGGAGCAGAGCAGGGAGGGCCAGGTCTGCACACGTTTCTCTCCCACATCTCAAGAGAAGTTTGCAAACTACGGATACCCTCACCAATATCGAGTGAATGTGCGATTTTTTCTTTATATTACATCCTACAATACATACAAATCATGTAATTATTCTAAATATTTAAAATACAAGCTGATGAGTTCAGACAAGCCCCAGGAAGTACAGGGTCACTCTCACCTGAGATGGGGGACGAAAGGGGAACACGTTTGGGGGAGTTCAGAATGTCCCTTTTGGACATGCGAAGGGGCAGATGCCTGTTAGCCCAGCAGAGAGTGGAGGACACAGCTGGACGCAGGAGTCTGCAGTTCGGGGCAGAGGTGTGCAAGGGAAATGCTGACATGTCAGTGGGGCTTAAACCACGAGAAGAGACGACTAGGAAAGGCAGTGCGTGTGGACTGAGATGAGAAGAGGCTCAAGGACTAGGCTGTGGGTCACGCGCACATTCAGAGAACTGCGAGTTCAGGACACACCAAAAGAGGAAAGTGTAAAATCATCAGGGAGGTGACAAGAAAACTAAATCAAATAGACTTCTGAAGGTTAGTGGGACATCCTTACACCAAGGAAAAAGAGAGAGAGAGAGACAGAGACACAGAAAGAAAGAGAAAGAGAGACACCAGCTGTGTAACATGTTAACAGGAGAAAAAGAAAAAAGGACAGAAAATTAAATACTGGTTCAGAAATAGGGAGATCACGGGTGACTCTGAAAAAGAGACTATCAGTGGAATAGTGGATGTGGAAGCTTGATTGGATGGAGTCGAGGGAACTGAAGGCAAGAATGAAGATAGAATATAAGCAAGTTTTTAGCTTTTAAATGGAACTTAGAAGAAGGGTGTTTACTAAAGATAAATACATATTTCATGGAAAATTTATGTTTCCAAGAAGGAAGAATGGAGGGGAAAAAGCCTCACTGTGTGTGTGTGTGTGTGCGCGTGTGTCTTAATACACATTATGACCATCTGGGTACTTAGATCAAAATAATTCCCTTAAAGTAAATATTGATGACGCCAGGGAGGAAGGAGGCCACACCATCCTGAGACTGCGAGTGTGGCTGGCAAGCAGGGCACAATGGCAGGGCCAGCAACAATGAGGAGCAGGGACAGACCATTCACAGCCACTACTGAGCACAGACCACAGGCCCTGAGACAGGGGTGGGTCGGTACCAGATCTCTTTTCTTGCTTCCAGGGATTCAAAGGAGGAAAAACAAAGGTCTTAGAGAAAAAAGATAAAAGAAAAGTTGGGGTGCTGAGGGGATCAAGAGAAAACGTGTGGAATAGACAAATACTGTGTTTCCCTGAAAATAAGACAGGGTCTTATTTTTATTTTTCCTCAAAAAGACACCCTAGGGCTTATTTTCAGGGGATGTGTTATTTTTTTAAAACTATGGTGCAACAATCTACATTTATTCAAATACAGTTAAGTTGTCTTCTTCTGGAACATCATCATAACTCTCCAAACCCCAAATTCCATCCTCAATTTCTTGCGACTCTATTTCCTTTAGAACCATTGGCCACAATCTCTCATGTCAAGCAATAGAGCTCTCATTAAATGAGCAGGGCTGGCTTATTTGTCAGAGATCCAGCGAGCACTGGGTCCAATCTGCACAGTGGAGCAGAAATGATCTCTCTGGGCTCAGCAGGACACTGCTTGCTGAAGCTTTTCCCACATTCCCTGGTGTCTGTGGGGGCTGAGAGAGGCCCACAGTGCTGAGTAAAATGGCAGCCACAGCTTTCCTTCTTCCCCCTGGGAACACACAATACCTAAAGCGGAGCGTCCCGTTCCTCACTTCACTGAGGACACTGGTGCCCTCAAAGCCTCAGCTTGCAGCCTGCACAGGATGGCCGGGACCTGACAGGGGGAGCCAACCTTGCTGGTAGGGCTGTACACACTTTCCGGTCACCTCTGAGATAGCAGCTGTTACAATGGGGCAGATGAGAAGGGCTGTTTATCTTTCCTGCTCGGCGACAAAATGCTTGGGTTGTGCAGACATGCTGCGTAGCCACGCCCATCACTAGGGCTTATTTTCGGGGTGGGGCTTCTATTGCGCACATGCTTAGAAATCCTGCTAGGGCTTATTTTATGGGTAGGTCTTATTTTCAGGGAAACACTGTAAGGAAATGCAAGCACAGGTGAGCAGGAAAGCGCAGTGAGATAGGTCAATCTGGGTGAATGTTTTCTCCAGGCTGTGATCAGCCACAGGGACAGAAACAGAGTAGGCAGAGCTGGATGGGGTGCTGATGTCAGGAGGAAGCAAGGAAGTCAGGAGTCCCAGGGGAATGATTACCTCAGTCCTTTGCATTGGGGCATTTGTCTCAGATGACTATTAGTAATTCAATAGCCCAGCCTGGGCATGATATAGTAAGACCCCATCGCTTAAAAAAAAATCTCTATATCTATCTGTGTGTATGCGTGTGTGTGTGTGTGTGTGTGTGTGTAAAAACAAACAAAATAAAGTAGAGCCGTAAATTCTGTTGGTTTACCATTTTTATCTGTGTTGCAGGCAAAAAAGCCAGGCTCCACATGTAGTGAGTAAATGAACGAAAGGGAATGACATATAGGCACAGTGGTCCTCCCTCTGGCACAGCCTTCACTTTGAGGAGCCTGGACGTTGTCCTGAGGAAAATGGGAAGCCAGTGGAGGGTTCAGTGCCACAGATGGACGTGACCTGCGTTTAGATGTAGCTATGATAACTCTAAAGCTGAGAGAGATCTCTGAAGATGGTGTGTCTGTCTCTAAGTCGAAGCTCCTGTTTCTTCCATTCTACTGACTTTGTTTTTAATTTGTTTTTTCGTTTTTGAAGGACTGGGTCCCACTTAAAGTTCTAATAAAAACTAGGGACTGCTCCCTCCCAAAAGAAAAGCCACACACAGACTCTACTCTATTTGGCCAATCACTTCAGGGGTCAATGTCAACCACAATGAGGTTTTCTGGGATAGTCCCTCATCTCCATGTTGCAGGTGGGCTCAATGGAGCTCAGAGAAGTTTCACCAAGTTATCCTGAGTAGGTCTGGGTCCAGTCAGAACATGTACCTGGATCCTGATATGGTGGCCTGGAAGGGCCAATGTATGGGTTTCTCTCTATCACACCTCCTCTAGAAAATTCCAGCCCATCTTTCACATGTCTCAGCAAAGAAACTTCTCTGTCATTGTTCTGATGTCATTGATCCCAAACATTTAATTACTCTCCACCAGAAGATCACAGTAATATACTGAAAAAATACACAACTGTGAACACATACCTATGTGTGCTTAAAACAGTCAGGTCTGAGCAAATTTTTTCTTCCTCAACACATGGGCTCTGTTGGAAGAAACTTCCAAGTCATTCCAACCCTGCTTTTACCTTTGCAGAGAACATGATGAACCAGAGGGACTTGAGGGCGATATCTATCTAGGAGCTCACAGCTCACTAGTTTTAACAGATGACAAGAGGGAAGAAAACTGAATACCAGACTAGCTACTTCAACTAGATTTTGATGCTAAGGTGAAAAATGGGTCATTGATATCTTTAAGAAGTGCACATTGAAACAATCTAAAATTACATATTGGGTTCCAAAGAATGTTTCTAATATATGATAAAGACTAGCCAGGGGTGGTGGCTAACACCTATAATCTCAGAGACTCTAGAGTCTAGGAGACAGCAACATAATTGGAGCCCAGGAGTTAGAGGCTGCAGTGAGCTATGTTAATGTCACTTTCCAGCCTGGGTAAAAGAACCAGACCCTATGTCTTTAAAAAAAAAATGCGGGCTGGGCATGATATTGAGATATATATATATATATAATGTGATCATAGAAAGAAGGAAAAAATAAATAAATAAACTGGACAGAATCTATTTTAAAGAGAAACAATTTTGAAATTCTTAAAAAAAACTGATGAATTCTGAGGTCAAAGAAAATAATATGAAAATATGTAATTTGAAAACAATGATGTATGCTTATTATAGGATACTACCAACCCTATATCAGAAGTAATTATATGTAGAAAAATACAAATTGAATAAAGGAAAAATCATGTCAAGTTTCAAAAAACAATTAATGAAATGAAAAAGACCTAGAAAAGAAAGGAACGCCATTACAAAAAGAGCACAAAACCATTTTCAATGTTGCTTTTGAAAGGCACCATGTAGGCCATACCTGTAATCCCAGCACTTTCAGAGGCTAACAGGGGAGAACTGCATGAGGCCAGGAGTTAAGTCCAGCCTGGGCAACACAGCAAGACCCCTATCTGGACAAAAAGAATTTATTTTTTAAAAGGCACCCTGCGGTAATGGACTCCATTACTTCTTACCCACTTCACTTCCCATACCCTACCCCATCCCAGGAAAAGGGAAGAGATTACCCACAATTAAATGAGTAAAGTCAGTTTCTTTTGGCTGAATATGCATTTCAGGTGGAAGCTAACTTCTGCTGCCATGATTATAAAATGCACCAACCTTATAAAGAGGAATTTGGCAATTCTGATTCTCTTCTGAACCACTTAAACAAAAATATATATTATATACAGAGAAATGAACAGTTGACAACTTAACTATCTATTCAATCACCTTAACACTCATCTGGTTCCAGTGTCCCCCCACTTTTCTCATTACTGTGTGTATCCCTCCCTCATTCGTCCCCTATCTCTCAATCTCACCTTCTTCCTCTAGCTCTTTTTCCTGTGTTTCCCCCCTGAGTTTCAGCCCCTCTCCTCTTCTGCTTTCTCCCCTTCTTCCTCTCTCTGTTCCTTCTCTTCTGCCTGTCCTGCTCCACTCTGGAAACGTGCTTCACCTCTTGTTCCTTTTTCCCCAGTCTTTCCACTGTCCCCACTCTCCATGTACTTATGTCTCTTTCTTCCCTGTCTCTGCTCCCCCTCTGCTGTCCCTGGTAAACTGCCTCTTCCCTGCACAATCCCTCAGTCCCAGGCTCTGCCACCCCCAGGTCCCTACACTCCCTCCCTCCTTGGTTCCCCCTCTGCTCTCCTTGTCACCAGGTGGCCCCTCTTACTGTCCCAGCACCATGCTGCTGTCTCCCCCCACTCTCTGTCTGAGGTCCCTGCCCCTTGGCTGCCCCTGTCCTTATTTTGCTGAAATTCATCTCTCGCGAGATCAAGCCCTTCTCTGCATTTCTCCAGTCGCTTTTCTACCCCTGCTACTTTCCCATATCCTTTTTTCAATCCTACTGTCTCTTCGCAAATCCTTCACCCATCCTGGACTTTGCATTCTTTTTTGCGCATTCTCAGTTTTTCTGTTTCCTCCCAGTCTGTCTCTCCTGATCCCGTGCCCACAGTCAAAGGGAGGGGAACGCGGTGAGATGTCCGACTCCAAGAAGGGCGGCATTTCCCAGTGGGCGTCATTTGGGACCAACGACACTGGCTGTCTCCAGAAGGGACCGTGGTCACCTCCCCCAACGCGGAATCGCAGGAAGGGATGACTGCTAAGAGTCCTGGGGAGCAGAAGGGCCTGGCCCAAGGAGGAAGGGGGGGTGAGGGGGGTCTGCAGATTCCCCGGACCAGGGAGAGGACAGGGCTTCCCCAGGACTGGGCTGCAGCGCCGCCCCGCAGGGGCCCAGAAGGGCGAGGCTTGGGGACCGGAAGGGCCTGAATCCACCTGGGGGTGAGGACTTTACATGGCTCAGGTGGGCCGAGAGGTCAGTGACAGGTTTCAAGCAGGAAAACGGCGCCAAAGGAGGCGTCTCGCGGCCTGAAGGCAGAAAGACTGGGGACAGGAAAAGCCTCTCAGTGATTTTCTCCAACCCAGGCGACCCCGCACCCGGGGCGACGCCTGACTTACGTGGAGAGAAGGGAATGCTGTGAGGATTTACGTTCTGTAAGTCACCCCAGATCCCATGTACGGAAGCCCCGGAAGTCTGAGAAGCCGAGGTTCAAACAACGTAGATAAAAGGAAACTCACGCGCAGCCACGCCACGCTCCCTCCACCCGATCCGCTTCCGGGTCCACAGAATGCTGCGCGCGCAGGAGACCCAGGCCTGGGCGGGGCCGGCGAGGGTGTGGGCGGGACCAGAGAGGGTGTGGGCGGGACCAGAGAGGGTGTGGGCGGGGCGGGGGAGGGGTGTGGGCGGGGCCTGAGCTTCCCTCCGCCTTGCTGTCAGCCTTTGCAAGGCTTTGGAGGGGTTCGGGGACCCAACACAGGCGGAAGCAGCTCAGGGGAGTGAGAACTGGGATTGCTCTAGCGGGATCCACGTGGGTTGTGATTGCATCCAGGGAAGTTTCTTCCATTCAAATTCTTGTTAGCAATTTAATTAAACAGCCCCAGAATTGACTGCGAAGGGGATACGATCTAGAATGTGAAATGCAAATCTCTGGGTGGACAGAATGTGCAATTTCATGCTGATGCCCAACAGAACACAGTGGAAATCCTTTCCGTTTATATTCCCCATTTGCTGTGGAAGGAATCAACCCTGTGCTCAGTTCCAGAGACTTTCATAGGGACAACACCTGAGGTGTAAGGCATGCAAACCTAAATCCAGTGATAAGTTAGGTCACCAATTGTTGCTTTTAAAAAAGCAATAACTTTTTTTTTTTTCGTTTTTTTTCTTTTTTTATTTTGTTTTTTTGTTTTTTTGTTTTCTTTTAAAAAAGCAATAACTTTTTAAGGTAGATATTAATTAGTTCCTTACACTTGGTACACTTGTTATGTTATGCCACTGAAGGGAGGTTAACCGGAAATACTTTGGAGATAAACTTTGCTGACATCACAATATTGTTATGTCAGTAATTTCCAAATACACTGTAATTTAAAATTGACTTTATGTGCATTCTGAAAACCTACTGTTTTATCTTTCTGATTGTTTTGTTATGTATGGACAACAAAGGCATTTGCGTTTATATGCCCCTAGAAATAATTTTGCAATAGTTTTAAGACTCTATGGCAGGTAGGCTATTCTCCTTAATAAGAACCCTGAAAAAAGGAAAACTTCATTATCAAATTTTAAATATCTTCATTTCTACGGGCAGTATCTGTGAGTTAACATGTACTAAGAGTATGTTTTTTTCTAGCATCAGTTTGTGGAAAGTTTCATTCACGAAGAAATGGTAATAAATTTAAATGTGATCATGCACACATGGAAACTTAGCATATTTAACATTTTATCAGCATTTTATCAGCAAGACATTCTGAAATGAGCAGAATGTCTTGGCATGGCACACAGATGAATACAAGAAAATATATCTGCATGTTATTAAAAGTTGCACTGTCCAGACTAGAATTTGGATCTTTACAAGGTAGACGATTCTGTATTATGCAATAATAATAATAATAATAATAACTATGTTGCCAGAAAGGAACTTTTAACCTAGGCTTCCCTGATCCCAAGCAAATAAATGAGTTGATTGTGCAGCTTTTGGTTAAACTCAAAATAGTAGACAAGAAGCTGAGTATACCTGAAAGTCTTGAATCTATTTTGCATATGGGAAGTTTTGCTGCTTCTAAACATTTCAAGGAAGCAACATGGACATTCTTATTCATGAGAAATAAAAAAGGAATATTTTCTCAGCCACAGAAAAATGTTCACATGTGGTCTCTGTATTAGCATTATAAGACAGACATAAATTACTAAGGATTTAAAACTTTTTTTCCAACTAGAAACTAATTTCACCTATTGAGTATATATTATAGCCTATACCATAAAAAAGAAAATGAGCAGTTTTTGTTATATTTTCCTTTTTAAATTTGAAGTTTTTTATGAGGTCTAGATGGGACAAAAGACAGAATGTACATATTCTAACACAGATGAAACAATAAAAATATTTCTTATTGTCAAAAAATAAGTTTACACATAGGAGAAATTTTATTGAAAATGATTATTGCAATAGGGAGAATGTGTCAACCACAGGTTCTGCAAATGTGTTAGAGTCACACACAAAAAAAATAGCTTCTCTTTTATATGAAAGAGTAAACAATCTAGAAAGTACCAGGTTCAGGGCAATGGATGAGCCCCTGGGACCTACAGGTACTCTGGGAATATTTTAGCCTAAGATCAGCCTATTTGGGGGAGGGGTTGTCCAGGAGGAGAGCTTGTTCTGATTTCCAATGACCTAGGACAGTCCAAAGTTTGGGGGTCTGGGAGGAGTGAAACTTAATTAAGGTTTCATTAAATTAAGCAGCATTGGCCAGGTGTGGTGGCTCACGCCTATAATCTCAGCACTTTGGAAGCCAAAGCTGGAAGGATTCCTTGATGCCAACAGTTTGAGATCAGCCTGACCTGGCCTCTAAAAAAAAAATTTTATATATATATTAGCCAGCATGGTAGTGTGAGCCTCTAGTCCTAGCTACTCTGGAGGCTGAGGCAGGCAGATTGCTTGAGCCCAGGAGTTGGAGGTTGCAGTGAGCTATGATGATGGCACTGCAATCTAGCCAGGGTGACAGGGCAAGACCCTGGCTCAAAAAACAAACAAACAAAAAAAAACCCAGAAGTTTTCTTATTGATCAGTGGGGACAAACAATTAGGGAAATCCTTAATAAGTCAAAGGGTGGAATTTGGAGAGCCTTCATCTAGCTTTTTCTATGTAAATAATGGTGCTTATCATAAAGCTTAATAAAGTACTATGGGGCAGGTGTGGATCATGCCTTTAATCCTAGAATTCTGGGGCTGAGGCAGGAGGATTGCTTGAGTTCAAGAGTTCGAGCAGCTGAGCAAGAGCAAGACTTGGTCTCTTCAAATATAGAAAAATTAGCTAGGCATGGTGATGTGCACCTGTAGTCCCAACATCCTTTGCTTCTCCATGTGAAAGACCTGGCTGCCTTTGGAGTGGATGGAAAGGAAGAACTCCCACCAAATACTCCATGGTGTGTTTGGTGATGTATATTAGGAACCTGTAATTGTTTCTGAGAATTGACAAAGGGAACACAGGTTTTCAAAATATTCTTATCTCAGGAAGTAATACTCTCATTGACACTATTGGTAAATTGTTCATTAAAGTCAATGAGCTGCTATTTAAGAATCACAAATAGGTCACAGACTGGATACCTCTCTTGAAGATTGGATGGTCTTTTTTACAGGATTTTTTTTCAAATTCTAAAAGTGAATTTTATTTTATTTTATTTTATATATTTATTATTTGAGAAAGAGTTTTCCTGTCATTCTGGATAGACTGCAGTGGTGTCATCATAGCTCACTGTAACCTCAAACTCTGTCTCAAGCGATCCTCCTGCCTCAGCCTCCTAAGTAGCTGTGACTACAGACTGCCCCATGACTCCTGGCTAACATTTTCTATTTTTAAGTAAGGATGGGGTCTCACTCTTCCTCAGGCTGGTTTTGAACCCTAAGCTCAAATGACCTCCTGCCTCAGCAAGGAGGATTACAGGGTGCTAGATTACAGACAGGGTGCTAGATACAGGAGTGAGCCACTGCACCAGGCTAAAAGAGTGGATTTTTTTTTTATTTTAGTATATTATGGGGGTAAATGTTAAGGTTACCGTATATTGCCATTCCCCCCCCCTCCACCGCGCCAACCACCTGATAAAATTTATTCTATATGTCCACTTAAGCGCTAATCCATTCATACCAATTAGCTGGTGAGTACATGTGGTGCTTGTTTTTCCATTCTCAAGATACTTCACTTAGTAGAATGTTCCAGCTCTATCCAGGAATATACGAGATGCTATATCACCATTGTTTCTTAAAGCTAAATAGTATTCCATGTATACATATAACACATTTTAATTAATCCACTCATGTGTGATGGGCACCTGGGTTGTTTCACACCTTTGCGATTGTGAACTGTGCTGTTATAAACATTTAAGTGCAGGTGTCCATTTAAGAGTGTCATTTGATCTTTTGGGTAGATGCCCAGTAATGGGATAGCTGGAATCAATGGTAGATTACTTGTATCGCCTTAAGGTATCTCATATTGTTTTCCACACAGGCTGAACCAGTTTGCAGTCCAGCAGCAGTGTAGGAGTGTTCATATCTCTCCACTTCACGCCACATTTATTGCTTGTGGACTTTTGATAAAGGCCATTATTACTGGAGATAAGTGATATCTCATTGTAGTTTTGACTTTGCATTTCC